GGCCATACCTGGCTGATGCTGTACACAGGGTGCACCAAGCTGTCCTGTCCCAAGCTTGGTTGGCTCCAGGCAGCACTGAAGGTGGCGTGAATCCTTGAGGAGAAGTGAAGGACCAGCTGCTGGGCCTGGGTATCCATGCTAACATTCCAGGATGGGGCTGCCAGGGTGGGAAAGGGCATCATGGGAGACATTCTGTTTGCAGGAGGTGATAGGAGCTGGGCTGTAGTTGCCAGAGAAATCAGAACAGGACTCCAGTCTGGCTTGGTCACAGTTGGGTAAGGGTTCAATGGTGGAAGGGGGTCCCAGCCAGGGTCACTTAACGGCTCACCAGTCCGGTGGGGGCATTCAACATGGCTGCTATTTCCAAACGAGAACTGAGAAATCCAAGAATGGCAAATCAGCAAGCTCCAGGCACCATCCATACCCCTCCCCATTCACTGTCACCCACGCTTGTACCTTGAAGCAGAGCTGGGGGTGCAGGTCTACGCCCTCCAAGACATACCACTGTGGTAGGAGAAGGGGGTTAGTCAGGGAGCAGGGCCCTGGGCCCCAGCCCTGCCCACTCAAGTCCTGGGGGGGGCTGTCTCACCCCCTCTGACTCTTGAGCCGTGGCATTTGGGAGGTCTTCGCAGATGGTGTGCCAGCCCTGCCTCTGGCAGAGGGAGGCCTCCAGCTTCAGCGGGCAGCGGAGGGTCAGGGCCATGACCATCTGACTGTGCTGGCTGTAGTCAGTAAAGTGCACTGACTTCCAGAAGTCCGAGCCATCTGGGCGGGCGGCAGGCAGGGACAGAGAGTGAGGCCCGGGGAGGCCTGGGCCCTGTTTTGGCCTCAGCGTCGTTTTGCATCCCCATCCCCGGGGGCACCAGGGGATGACTTTGTGAAGGTGCCCAGCACGGTTGCTGGTATGTCTAGGTATCCAATAAATGAGCATGCCTTCTCCAGACCTTTTATGACTTTTCTACTTCATTGTCTCACCTCCTTCCTGTGCCTCCATTCTGGCCAGCTCTCTGCTGCTCCCCAAAGTCAAAATCTGCAGATCTTTGCTTAGGTTCTTCTCAGAACCAGGGATGTTCCCCTTGCTACTCTCCTTTGGAAATACTGCCCCTTTTCTGAGCCCACCTCACATGTCACCTCCTGTAAGAGACCTCTGATCAGACCGCCTTCATGGGCTTCTCCCTTTCCTGAGCTCATGGCCTACAGCCCAGTCCTCAATTCTAACAGTGCCCTGGACTTTAGGCTGCTTTGCGCTATTCATTTGCTGTGTTTCAGGACCCTGTCTCTTTAACTTGGGGATGACAACATGCACAGAGCATTTCAGACATCACCAGCCACTTTCACATCCAATATCGAATGCAAGCCTCATCAACGGTTGGAAAGTAAGGCAGGGCAGGTATCACTACTTTACTGATGAAGAAACTGAGGTTCAGAGAAGAATAAGTGAGATGTGACCCCAGGACTTTGGGGCCATCCTCTTAGGACACTACCTCCTGGGTCTCATATTCCTGAACCTCTCACAGCGCCTAGTACAATGTTCAATACTCTGATTTATTGGCAGGTGATTGGTAGATACGGTAGCCCTTTCCCCCAACCAGCTCCAGGGAAAGTGCCTGCATGCCTTCTGGGGGCTTCCCCCACAACACAGGTGTGCAATGTGTGTGCGCGTGTGTGTAAGAGAGACTGGGAGAGGCTGTGAATGCACATGTGCAGCACTTACAGGCTTCAGGCCAGTTCCGGAAGGGACATTTTTTGTGCCTCACGGTGTCCTCTTGCAGGTAGGATGCCTGGGGGGACAGGGGAACAGTCGGGGAGGGTCATAGGAAATTCTTCTCCTCTATCACTCAGACCTGAAACTCCTGGCTTGACCTCGCTCTGATGCAAGCTGCCTGAGCCGGTGGGGCATGGAGGACGGGAAGCTGTGCAGGGTGTGGGCGAGGGTTGGTGGGGCATGACCAGAGTCTAGGAGCAAGATCAGTAAATGGGAGGCTGAGTCCTCTTCTCCCTCGACAGGAGAACCTATCCTCCCCAGAAAGAGGGGAGGTCCACATTCCTCCACTTTTAGCTTCCCTGGCTTCCCACGGAATGCCCTGTATGGACCCCTCCCTCTGGGCCGCCCAAACACCCGGGGGGTTGTTCACCCCGGCAGCTGCTCCCTGCCCCACGTGTCCTTCTGTACCTTCCCTTTTGTCTCCTCCTGGTCAACAAAGTCCCCTGCATTTTCTGTCTAGTCCAAAAAAATCTTAATGCTAGGCCCCTCAGCTTTGTAAGGAGTGGGAGACTGCCATTGAGGGCTCATGGGGACGAGACTTTTGGAGCCATACAGGACGTGGCAGTAGCCACACGTGCCCTCCCCGTCCCCCCCTCCCCCCGTGACTCCTCAGAACACACAGTGAAGGCAACTGTGTATTCTGTCTCTGTGGGCTGAGGCCAGTCTGAACCTAGGAAAGCTGGGTTCGGGTAGGACTGAGGTTGGAATCACCCACCCAAAATATCTCATGTTCAGCAGGACACTTCCATCTCTGACCCAGTGTGTGGCTCACAGTCAAGCTGGTAGCCATCTTCCCAAGCATCAACTCAACACCCAGTCTTTTTAAGACCTGACTTACTGGAGATACGGTTGACCAACTGTGCCTCTGGGAGACCTAGAAGTGGAGCCATGGACAACCCAGACCTTTTCCTCTGCTCACCTCTATGCATAGACAGGGCAGAAGGAATTCATAAGGCAGTTCTACGGCATGGCCCCCAGACACAATTTTCTGTTGACGAAGCAGCAAAAGGAGAGAAGAAATGCCTGATAAAGAGCTTAGGCACCCTGGACAAGGGCAGTAGGAAGCTGGGACCTTGGCCAACACACCCTGTTTTTCCTCTTATCTGAGAAATTTCCTTTTGGGGTGGGGGGGCGTGTCCCTGCTCTGTAGTCTATTATTTGCTCTAGGTATCTCAATATATGGAGTGGGGAGAGGGAGAGAATAGGGAAAGGATGATACATTTATGGAGCCCCTACTGTATGCCAGGTAGGGTGCTAGGTGCTAGAAGCATTAACTCAACTAAATGAACGCTAGCATCACAGTGATCTTCATTTAGAAATGAAGAGAGCTGAGAGCCTCTGAGGTACATCTCAGTCCCTGCAAATGGTACCAACCACATACCAGGGCATCTACAGCAACTGGAGGTTGAAGAGGGGTATGAGGCCTGGGCTGAGTGAATGGGGAACATCTCATTCTCTGAGGGGCTGCAGCAAAAGGAGGGAGATGGAAGGGTACCAAGACAGATGTGACCGCTTCTTGGGGGAACTGAAAAGCCTTCTAAATGCAACCAGGATCTCGCTGAGGGTCTTCTCACTGGGGATATATGCTGTATTCATTTCTCTGCTAGGCATTCATGGTTGCTCCAAGTCTCTCTTTGCCCTTTCCCTTCCTCTCCTCCTAGGTGACAAGGACCCTTGCATTTTCTGTCTAATCCAAAGAAGGCTTAATGCTAGGCACTTTGGACTTGTAGGGAGGTCTTAGACAATGACTGTCCCTCTCTGGGCCTTAGTCTCCCCATGTATACAGTGGGGAAGTTCTTTTTGCTCCAGAACTGTGTCATCTGGCTTTTTAAAGGGAGACAACACTCCATACCTGGGAGTCGAAGGGACTGCTCAGCTCCTCACATTCTAGTACCCACTGGTGACAAAGACGCATGCTGACCTCAGGTCCCGGAGGAATGGTCACTTGAATAGCCCGTGCCTCAGGCAGCAAATCAAAGGAGAACTCGGGCCCTGGGGAGAAGGGAGACCTGGTAGCCTTGTCTCTTGGCCTAGGCCTAGGCACCAATACTTGGCTGCACCCATCTCTGGTCACACCCTATGCCTACCTTCATGCCTTTGTGAGCTGGGTCTGGGGAGACCTTCCAATGCCTTTAGATCTGAAGGTTGGGTCCTTTTAGAGCGCAACCCCTTGTGAGAGATGTCTGGGGAGGAGACAGCGATGTGATGACCCTTCTCAGACAGGCAACAGCTACTCAGCAGCTTCCTCTGTAGGCAGAGAACATGGTTGGCCTTAGGCCAGGAATCAGGCTTTTATTCCTGCTTCTGGAACCTGAGGCACCACAGGCAAGTCACTCAATCTTTAGACCTTGCTTTCGCTAACTGTGTAATGGACAGAATAGTCTACTTCATTGCCATGCTTTCTACCTTTCACGTGGCTAGAGAACAAAACAAGAGGCTGGGAATGAAAGGGTTGTGGGGTGTAGGGCAGGGCTGGAACTGGCAGGGGGAGTACCTGAGCAGATGTTGGCATCTTGTGTCTCCTACAGAACCGGAACTTATAGGACTTTTTGTATTTCTGCACCAGGAGGTGGAACCAGCCCTCCCGGAGGCCTGTGTAGGAAAGGACATATTTACTATCCAGCCCTTCACTGCCCCTCTCCTACCTGGAAATGTGGCCTGATGTTAGATAGTAAGTCATTTCAGATCATGGAGCGTAATGGTATCAAGTTCTTTAGTCTTGAAAGTTATGATACAGCCAAAAAAAGATTAATTCCTTAAGTAGAGAAAAAGCTATATATACGCAAAAGTGTCCATTGTAGCACTATTTACAACAGTGAACAATTAGAAACTGCGAATTCTTAAGCAGTGTTTGGACATTTAGCATGTGCCAGGCACTGAGCTAGGCAATGAAAATACAGAGTTGAATAAGAAAGATCGGGGCGCCTGGGTGGCTCAGTGTTAAGGTGTCTGCCTTCGGCTCAGGTCATGATCCCAAGGTCCTGGGATCGAGCCCCGCGTCAGGCTCCCTGCTCAGCGGGAAGCCTGCTTCTCCCTCTCCCACTCCCCCTGCTTGTGTCCCTCTTTTGCTGTGTCTCTCTCTGTCAAACAAATAAATAAAATCTTAAAAAAAAGACCTTACTTTGCAAATAGAATGTAATAATAGTAAACTCATAGAACTAAAACAATTTAATCTCAAGCATCCATACCAGTGGAAAGGAGAAATACCTTCACAAAATGATACAACTGAACCCATGAATATAATTCGTGGTATGCTATTTTAGGGTGACCTGTCTCTGTTGAGGTTGACAATAGGAGAGACATCTGTTCTAGTATGATAAATCCCACTTTCCTCAGCCTGGGCCTCCCCCCAAAAAAACCCCTAATTCACATCTCCACTGAGAATTGCCCAAAGGGCTGTTTTTCATACCTGAGGGATCTGACACCAGATGCAGGCACAGATAGGGGCAGAGCCAGAGCTGAGCACACCAAGGCTTTAGGGACACAGGAAAGGCCAACTGGGTATGGCAAGGAATATGGGCAAACCTTCCTGGGAAAGATGAAAAGTAAATCAAATGGTAAGGTCCAAGGAGGTCCCTCCTGCCTCCGACAAGGTGGACTTGAAGCTGAGATGTGTGGCTTTGGGCAAGTTACGGACTGCTCTAAGCCTCAGCTTCCTTGTTTATAAAGTAGGACTGTTGTCAAGATCAAGTGAGGTAACGTGTGGGAAAATGATTTGTAAATCAGAATGTACCATTAGATATGAAAGATCGTTGTTGTAGCACTGACAGGAGTGAGGAACCAGTTAAGGGCGAGTGCCTAGAGGTTATCCTGTCTCTCCTTTAATCCTCCCCACAGCTTAGGGGAGGTGCAATCATTTCTACAACCCTGCTCTACCCCTGGGAAACGGGGAGTCAGAGGGGCTAAGTGCACTGCCTTCAGCTACATGTGGAGTATGTGGTGGAAACGCAATGCAAACCCAGGCTTGTACTGATTCTAAACCCTGTGTTTTTTCCTTGATATGCTACTTCCCAAGTTGGGAGCCAAAAATTTGAATGGAAAGTTCGCTAGGGATCTGGAACAAAAGGGACGCAGAAGAGAAGCAGGGCAGGGAATGAGACTCACCAGTGAGAGTGTCTTCCTGAAGGCACAGGGCCCAGTAGGGGCAAGAAAGGAGAGAAGAATTATTAGTAGGGATTCCTATGGGGGTGGGGGATTCTCCCTGGGGTCTTTGCCTCAAATCACCTAATTCCAAGGCCCATAACCTAATAGCCCATCCACTCTGGCTCTTGTCTTCCCAGCTCAACCCTGCCCAGGCCCTCAGCACACAAGAACCTTGGCTACCCCTTCAAGACCAGATAGAGGACACACTGGGGCTGCTACCAGGGCACAGGGACTTGGGAAACATGAGAGGACAGGCAGAAGAGTGGGGAGCTTTACCAGCCTGTGGCAGGGAGATGTCCCTACTGGGCAGCGGCAGCATTACCTTACCATGTGGGAGGCCAGCAGACAGTGGGTGCTCCAGCGGGGCAGGTAGGGGCAGCCAATTCCGGCCAAGGCAGAGAGGCCAATGAGGAGCAGGAGGAGAAGCAGGAGCGAAGCTGCCCATCTGGGGCTCCCCATGGACTTCCGTGGGGTCAGAGCGCCCAGAACATGGCTGCACAGCCCGAAGGTGGGCAGCGGGCCCTTGCTGTGCAGCTGCGGGGAGGGCAGCGAGCAGGAGTCTTCGTCTCTGCCTGCCCCTGCCCCGCCCTGCCCCAAAGCTCCTCCTCGATCCTAGATCCTAACCAGCCAGCCAGGCCACATTCCTTCTTCTCCTAGTGGAGGGACAGAAGGACGGTTGCCCCCCAGAAAGCCCTACTGCTCCCACTTGGAGGGCAAAGGGCTCCTGCTCTGGCAGAGAAATAACAGGAAAGAGGCCAGCACAGGGTTAGGGGGATGGAGGGCTGTCCCCACTTCTTAACCCCTCCTACTCCTGCAACACCCTGCAGATCTGACCCGCCCACTAACGCTCTTGGACTTGGAACTTCGTTGGAGATTTGCTTCATCCCCTCACTTAGAGAATTAACGGAACTATTAAGCACTATTCTACAATGGGGTCTGGAGACAGAGGTGACTGAGGCACCATTTAGAGTTGAGCAGAGCAACAAAAAGTCACTGTAGGATGCACATAAACCTCACATGCCCCCATATGCATCCTACTCCCCACCTGGCTGACCCTCAAGACTATAGCCCAGCTTTCTGTTTCCACCCAGCTCTTCTGGGCAAAGGGCTCCATGCCAAAGGGGCCTCCAGCTTCAAGGATCCCCTAATCAGTACCATCTGCTCAGGAAGCCCCAGAGCACATAGCTGAGCCCTGGAGCTGAGGGAGCAGGCCCCACGCACTGACCTGGTTTCCTGTGGTTTCCGATGCTGACGAGGCTCCAGGCTTTGTGGGGACCCTCCCCATCATCCCACAGCTTCCTCCTACTCATGGAACGTTTGAGCTGCTTCTGTCCTTACCTTGGTGACACACATAGAAAGCAAGTTTGGGGCACACGTACAGGGTTAAGTCATTTTGATATTGTTATTGTCCCTCTGCACCTTTCAGTAGCCTGGTCCTAGCCTCCCTGAAGCCGATTCTAGGTCCTGAGTCTTCAGGTCCACTGTCTGAAGACCCATCGTACTCATTATCCTAGAAATACCCTCTGGCTTTTGAGTTCCTTAGAAGATAAGGACCCTTTCCTATTCTTTACGTTCTCCAATGCCTAGCAGTGGATGTCAAGAAGTAGGTGGTTTTGTAGTTGAATAACTGTAAATAATGGTACGTTTCATTTAAGCAGCAGTTTATCTGCTTCACATTTTACAAGCACTTTCATGTTTGATCCACCTAATCATCTTATGAGACAGGTAAGTGAGAATTTTTCTTTTCATTTAGTAAAGAGAGGAATAAGGAAGCAGAAAGAAGAGTGACTTTGTCAAGGTCTCTAGCCCAGAGAGCTCCAATTCTGCCACCTCTCATAGTTCATTTCTCTTTCTACCAACCTCTGGTTTCTTTTCCCACTGCCTCACCTCCTTCTGCTCCTGGGAACCCAAAAGGCTTTGCCTGGCACAGTTCTGTGTTTTGGCCTCAGAGCCCATCACTTTGAAAATAGATCAGTAAGATACAAAGGAAGAAAAGGGTGGTCTGGCCATACTAAGAATGGTTAGGGACTCTTCCCCCTCAATTTTACCTAACCCACAGTGGTTTAGATCTACATAAATAATGCATTTTTCAATGCTGAGGGCATGAAGTGAGAAACTTGGTTCCATTCTAGAATACTTCTTTTTTTTTTTTGAAGATTTCATCCATTTATTTGAGAGAGAGAGAGAACACGGGCGGGGGTGGAGGGGCAGAGGGAGATGCAGGCTCCCCACTGAGCAGGGAGCCAGACGTGGGGCTCAATCCCAGGACCCTGGGATCATGACCCAAGCCGAAGGCAGACACTTAACCAACTGAGCCACCCAGGCATCCCTAGAATAATTCTCTTTCTTGACCTCTTGTATTTTCTGATCTGTCACTGAAAATATTTCCTTAATTGCTCCTGACCCTGGCTAAGGTATGGTAGGAGAAGCAGAAAAGAAATAAAGTGTCCCACATTCACACATACAAAAGAAAAAAAGAATAGAAAGGGAAGAAAATGAGAGCATAGAAAAGGAAAAGGAATTAAGGAGAGGAAGAAAGGGGGAAAGAAGAGAGAAAAGGTTTGTGCTTTATTTATTGTCTTGCTGGTTTGCCTATTGATTGTGCCTATTGATTATTGATTGTGGAGCCTAAAAAAAGATTTAGGGTAATTAATTCTCCAGGCGAATTCAGGCACATCTGGGAAAGAGTAGGGAATCAGTTCAAGATTTGCTAAACTCTTACTATCAGACTGGAGGCCATATGCTTTGCCCACTTATCCCATTTTATTAGTACTACAACCCTTGAGGTCAGTCTTTTTAAATCATTCTACAGACTGGAAAACACTAGGAAGTTTAAGTAACTTGTCCAAACACAAAAATGGAGATCTGGGACTCAGCACCGTGTCTGCCAGAACATACTGCTTGGGGAGATCTGTGAGAAGTCAGAGGGTTTGTGAGCCCTAGAGTCCACAGAATTACTAGATTTAGCAGTGCAATGTAGTTGGCAGGGTTAACAATGTGAAGGAAGAATTTGGAATAGTTGAACAAAGGGAAAGTAGGTCTTATGATAGTGAGTTAATGGTTCAGACTCCCAGACTAGTAGGAACTGTTTGGCAAGAGTCAACAAGGGAGGAGTATCTGTGGCTGGAATTCAAGGTAGCCAACTGTAATAAAAGCCAACTGCAGCACAGAGGCCCTGTCTTTTTGGAAGATGGTCGAAGCCTATCTTACCTGTGGTTTGTGTCTGAACAAGCTAACTCAGACTTCATGCTCTAATAACCTTTACTTGGGGACCAAGCCAGGAGCTCAGGAAGTCTTGGCAGGCCCCTGCACATGCTCAGAGAGAGAGCACACTGTGGGGGCCTTGGACAGCTGTTTTTCTTGAGCCTTACCCTTACGTGGACTCTTGTCAGACCATGCAGCAGCATCTCTAGGCTCTTTCTGTAACAGCTGATTCTTAAAGTCTCTTGGGGCAACTGGGCCTGTTAGGGCACCTTAGGCAGGAAGGGCCAACACATTAGACCAATGTAAACCAAGAGTGGATGAAGTGTTCCTTCCTTACTTCTGCTCTTCCAGTAGGGATCAACCTCCAGAATTCCAAGGCAAGAGATTATGCGTAAGAGGAGATAGGGACTCCCAGTCTGAAAGGGGAAAGTTAACAATGCTCATCAAGGGAAGGCATTTTGGTATTTACTCAGCACCTGCTATGTACTCGACTATTCATATACATTATTTAATCCTCACAATCTCAGTAGCTACTATGATCCCCGTGTGTCAGATCAAAATCAGAGACTCAAGTATCTTGCTTAAGGCAAAAGGCAGAATTCCAACCTAAGTCAGTCTAATATCAGAAGCTATATTCATTCCACTATGCCACACTCCCTTTCTCATGGACTAGATGCTCTTTAAGAGTCCCTCCAATACCTATAGTCTAAATCTGCAAACATGAGGGAACAACCATTCCTCACATTTATATAGTGTTACATAGTTCACAAAGCACCTTCATAATACTTCACCTTATTTGATCTTCAAAACAATCCTGTGAAATAGGCAGTGTTGATTTTAGCCATATGATTAGGTGTGCTGGTACTCGAACCCGTCTTCCACCGTCCAAATACAGCATTCTTCCCACTAAATCAAGATCTCTTTCAAAGGGGATCTTGTTTGCTTCAGGGAATGTAGTGTTAACACTGAATGCTAACACTACAACCATGAAGCAGGAAAAAAATGATTGGAAAAGCAGAATCCCAATAACCCAACAAGAAGAAAACTAAAATAAACCAAATGGCTTTTTTTTTTTTTTGCATTGACAGTAATTTCCATAATTGGTCTTCAAAAGCACTCTAAGACTGTAAAGTATCATTCCAATAATCAAAGAAAAGTTTAACTTAAAAAAAAATTATTTGCATCCCAATACTTTGAAAATTAGCAATTTGTGCCTGGTGCACGTAATTCCATCACTCACACATTTCCATCTGCTTTCCTTTGCTCTCCAAATTCTACCCCTGCCTCAGTCTAATTCTTTCCTCTGTGCAATACATCCTGTCTTTGGTCTAGAATAGGACAAGTTACTTCATTCAATAGAGTGCACACTATGCATCAGGTATCGAGCAAGGGGTGAGGAAAAGACGTATCAACAAATAATTGTCAATAAGAGGTAAAATAAAAATGTCACACGGATTCAAAGAACTCTTACTCCTTGAATGGAAGCAACCGGAAGGCTCCTGAATTACCATATAAACTGAATCTTGAAGGATAAGTAATAAAGGCATATAAAGGTCTAAAAGGGGAATTTTTAAACAAACTGGGAAAACATGAAAGTGCTATGGGGATTCATGAGGTTCTATTGACTGAGAGACTGTAAGAGTATGGCGAGACAATGTAAGACTGGTGTGCACTGAAATCACACCTCGGAAACATCTGAGAGATTAAGGTATTTTGATTGTTCAAAAAACAATGGCACCTAGTAGAGATTTGATGATGATCTAGAACTGTGCTTTTGGTATACTCACTTGCAAACAGGGATGCAGGAAGAGGTATGGGTATGAGGTAGAAGACAAGGAGTTAAGTCTGGGACACACGGAGTTTGAGACGACAGTCAGGACATGTAGAGGAAGAGGTTTTCCAGTATAAGCACTGCCAGTATCTAAGAGTGACCGAGTATATACCTAATGTTTATAGAATAAAAGGACTAAAAACAGACAAACAAACAAAGATGGCTAGAACTCTGGACAGGACAGAGGTCTGCAATTAGAGATCTGGACATCATCCAGAGACAATAAAGTCAAGTGGACAAGAACAAAGGGACACGCATCTTTCCTGCAGTAAACATTTACTGTGTCAGACTTTTAGATGTGAAAAGGGACTTGAGTTCACACATCTCTTTCCCACTTCCATTTTTAACTTATCTGCTCCACGCCATTAGATACTGTGTTTATTAGTTGCTTCACATGTATATCATGTTTCACCCAGATTACATGCAGGGATACTTTAAAATTCTTTTGGATACCTTATTATTGGACACATAAATGACAATTTGTTAACACTGAATGATAAACATGAATATCCTAGAAGAGCCCATAACCCAAGCAGGGTAAATGAGAATGGACCATTTTACAGGTGGAGAGATTAAATGTATGGCCCGTGGTAGTTTCTGTCAATCAGCCGCAAGGCTGCTACTATGACTTAGGTTCCCTACACCCAGTTCACTTCTCTACTGCTACTTCCAGGTTTCTTGGGAAACTTCTAACTACCTCCTTGTGTCTACGGCCACTCAGGCAACATACCTTTCACAATTTATCAAATTCCAACACAAGGCACAGGGTTGACAAGGCAGTTGTAATTTTATTGAAGTTCTTTTTAATTAAAATGCTTTGCAGTAGAGACCACAGCCTGCAGGGGGAGCCTCCCAAATGTTTCCTGCCCCACCACCTACAGATTGAAGTAGAATTTGATTTATTCCCTATCTCTTTCAGTCTTGACGGCTACGGGGTAATGGATGGAAGTGGAAAGAATGACCAAGAAGAGGCAAGGATGAGACTCCGTCTTAAAGAAAAACCCTGAAGGGCCTCAACTTCAACCAGTTGAAGTTTGCTTTATAGTTGTTGATCACCCAGTTCCAGCCAACCAGGAATAAATTAAATATAGTTTTGCCACCTCAGCTGGTGGCAACAGGAGCTTTCCAGAACGTGGGCCTGGTTTGCACTAGCTGCCAAAATCACCAACAATTTCAGAACAGCTCCTCTACCTTCTCACTAGGCTCAGTAAGAGGCCCAGGCTTCACCCCACAGAATAGTCCATCAGGCAGGCTTCATTTACGCTTCTTCTCCTGTGTGCTGGTGAACCAAGAGTCTAGGAGCTTCTTGCTGTAGTATAACTGCCAGGCATGCACTTGAACCGCCAGCACCAACACCAGGTACATGACAGAGACGGCAGAAAAACCAAAGAGGAAGCGGTAAGCCTTTCCATGGCGGTAGAGCTGCTGTGCAGCGGGGAACATCTCCATGCTGCCATAAATGAGGGGAGCTATGGAAAAGAGCCCCATGCTGATCATGGAGAGCACCAGGTAGCTAATGTTGTTTCGAGGGAAGGAGAGGAGGCCCAAGAGAGAGGGCACAATGCTCAGCAAATATGGGTATTCCCACTGATAGGGCATGGCCACCTGATCATGTGACAATAGCCTCAGGTGTCCCACGCTCATCTTGGCAACCAGCAGCAGCCATATGACCAGATGCACGTAGATCAGCTTCTTGATTTCATACTTGAGAGTCACACTGTGGGGCAGAGCAGAAGAAGTACCTTTCATTCAAAATTTTCTGACCACCAGCTATATGCCAGGCAACTATACTGGACACTGGGTTACAAACATGAGTAAGATATAGTCCCTGCCTGGACGCTTGGGGACAAGGAACAAAAGAAAAAATAAGGGGTGTCTGGGTGGCTCAGTCAGTTAAGCGTCTGACTCTTGATCTCAGCTCAGGTCTTGATCTCAGGGTTGTGAGTTTAAGACTCGCGTTGGGCTCCACGCTAAGCATGGAGTCTACTTAAAAAAATAAAAAGAAAAAATAATTAGAAAATGAACTGGAAGAGCTCTAGTAAATATAGGTTGCCAGATATATGAATATCACAGGAAGGAGTAATCAGTTCAGCTTAGGATGGGATGTCTGAGAAGGCTATCTAGAGGACAGGGATATTTGAGATAGGCTCTGAAGGGTGGGTGGTAATTATCAGAGGTAAGAGCATGCAGGCAAAAAGACATAAGTATTGTGTTCCAGGAAAGCAGGTGGTGTGGCAGGAATACTTCGTAGTGGGAAGAGCAGAATGTGAAGTTGCAAAGAGTGAGTCAGATTAAAGGCAAAAGAGTAACTCAGTGCTGTGTTTAGAGAGATGACTTTGATTGCACCATAAGAATATAGCCTACAAGAAGGAGATACTGGCAGCAAGAAAATCAACTCAGGCTGCCCATACTTCCCAAGCTAGACTAGATTTTATAGCCAAAGCAAGCACACATATTTCTCTCATTATTCTAATTCTCTCAGGTCCTAAATGTATTCTCTTCACACCCCCGAGGGCAGTTTCTGCTCCGGACAGTCAGCAAAACACTTGCTTGGGTTGTAATATCCTCTTAGGTGGGGGTCTAAGGATAAGAATAAAATGAAGATCCAAAGAGCTTGTCATTCTTCAAAACTCTGGAAAGATGTGAAAAACATTCTGGGAGAGTTTGATGGATTTAAGGAAAGAAAATCTTTTTTTCAATATTTTTATTTTAAAAATATTCATTATAGAAAATGAGGAAAGGTAGGGGGGGAAAGCCAGTCACCTGTAGACTTCATGATCCATGAAGGCAGGGACCAGTTTTGTCTTTTTTAAAGAAACTTTTTTCTTTTTTATTTTTTTAAAGATTTTTTATTTATTTATTTGACAGAGAAAGACACAGCGAGAGAGGGAACACAAGCAAGGGGAGTGGGAGAGGGAGAAGCAGACTCCCTGCCGAGCAGGGAGCCCAATGCGGGACTGGATCCAGGGACTCCAGGATCATGACCTGAGCCGAAGGCAGTCGCTTAACCAACTGAGCCACCCAGGCGTCCTAAAGAAACTTTTTTTATTGAAGGTATAACATGCATACAAAGACCAGATCTGTTTTTGCTTACTATTATATCCTCAGTGCCTAGCACAATGCCTGATGGGTAGAAACTCAATAAATATTTGTTGAACGAATACCGAAGTTGAAACACCCCTTACATGGGAGTGTTCCTAAAATTCATTTTAGGCGAGGAAAGGCTGGACTTTATGGTCCACATTCCCCAAAATGGCCCGAAATACAACAGCTACCATGTATTGGGCAGACCCTTTACACGAATTACTAGCTCACTAATTCTTCCCCAAACCTAAATAATGGATTGCTCTTCCCTTCACAGATGAGGAAAGTGGGTTTCGATTAAAAATTGGGTTTCCGAGGTCACAGCAAGGCCAGCATCGCTCAAGACTCCAGAGCCTAGGAGGCAGGGACTGGACCCTCCCAAGGCACAGGGCGGATCACGGGTGGTGCTTATGGGAGCGAAGGGGCTTCCCGAAATTGGGGACAGGGCCTGGGCCGTCACGGGAGGAGGTGCGCGAGGGCCGGCTGGGTGGGTAAGACCCCGAGGCCAGGCCTGTGTCGCTTTCCAGGCCCTCCGGGCTCTGGCTGGGGAGAGGCCTCTGTGCTCCTCGCCTCACTTCATACCTCATCTGGTAGTGCATGGCGACGCGCTCCCGGTGCTGAAAGTCGCTGCCGTCGGTACCGGCCGCTCGCGGGCCTGCCCGAGATGCCATTATCCCCGCCCAGAACCCCAGAGCCCCTCACGCCGACCCACTACCGTGCCGAACTGCCTGCACACCCAGATAACGCCGCCTCGGCTTGCCACCCTAACAGCCGCGCGATTCGGTGAGGCCAACTTCCGGCCTCTCTGTCTCAGGCCTCTCTGTCTCGGGAGGACCGACTCTGTGGTCACGCCCTCGCGCACGCGCACGTGCACGCTCTCGCGCTCCGGCTTACCTCTGTCGGTTTGGAGTGCCCAAGAAATTAATCCGTAGGGATGGCATCTTTTTGCTCTCTGACTGGACCATATCACTTAGGCTGTTGAGCACTTTTACCTTCTTTTTTTTTTTTTGTAATATTTTATTTATTTATTTGACAGAGAGAGACGCAGCGAGAGCAGGAACACAAGCAGTGGGAGTGGGAGAGAGAGAAGCAGGCTTCTGCTGAGTAGGGAGCACGATGCCGGGCTCGATCCCAGGACTCTGGGATCATGACCTGAGCCGAAGGCATACGCTTAACGACTGAGCCACCCAGGCCCCCAACACTTTAACCTTCTTAAACTCTAATAGGAGTTCAAGACACCGCTGTCCCCACTTCACAGATGGGGAAGTGATATTGAAAAGGGTTCTGTAACTCTCAATAGGACACATGATTGACACAGTCTCAAAATATCTCCCCATGGGTTACTTAATCATTGCAAAGAGAAAATGGTAACTTTACAGTGGAGAAACCTGGGGTGCACTCCCTTAACGAAGTAATCAAAGTTAACTTGATCAGTAACGAGACAAACTTGACATCTGTCTCCTGTTACACTGAAGACACAGCATCACTTCTGTGATATTTCTGCCAAAGATACTTAATTTAACCTGAATCTAATCATGAAGCAATGATAGATAAATTGAAGGACTAGACTGTATTCTTAAAAATGTCAAGGCTATGGGGGTGCCTGGGTAGCCCAGTCTCTTGTTATCTGCTCAGATCTTGATCTCAGGGTGGTGAGTTCAAGCCCGTGGTGGGCTCCATGCTGGCTGGGTGTGGAGCTTATTTAAAAAATAAAAATGTCAAGGCTATGAAAGAAAAAAGAAAATTATGGGGTGTCTGGGTGGCTCAGTCGGTTAAGTGGCTGCCTTCGGCTCAGGCCACGATCCCAGGGTCCTGGGACATGTTGGGCTTCCTGCTCAGCGGGGAGCCTGCTTCTCCCTCTCCCTCTGCCTGCCGCTCTGCCTGCTGCTCTGCCTATCTGTGCTCTCTATCTCTATCAAATAAATAAATAAAATCTTTAAAAATACACATTTCTTTTCTTTTCTTTTTTTAAAAGATTTTATTTATTTGAGAGAGAGAGAGAGAACAAGTGGGGGGAGGGGCAGAGGGAGAGGGACAAGCAGACTCCCCGCTGAGCAGGGAGCCTGATGCAGAACTCGATCCCAGAACCTGGAGATCACGACCTGAACCGAAGGGGATGCTTACCCTACTGAGCCACCCAGATGCCACGAAGATTGCATTTCTTAAATAATAAGACTTGAAAGTCTAAATGACTGCCTGATCCAAGGGCTGCAGGATGAATGTTGTGTTAGCAGGCATGAAAGCAACATTAATCTCATTATACATCTCTAGCAGAGCTCTTGGGTGACCAGGGGCATTGTCAGTGAACGGTAACATTTTGAAAGGAATCTTTTTTTCTAAGCAGTGGGTCTCAACAGTGGGCTTAAAGTATTCAGTAAACCACATTATAAGCAGATATGCTATCATCCAGGATTTACTCTTCCATGTATAGAGCACAGTCAGAGTAGATTTAGTATAACTTTTAAGGGCCCTGGGACTTCCGGAATGGCAAATGAGCACTGGCTTCAACTGCAAGTCACCAGCTGCATTAGCCCCTAACAAGAGAGTCAGCTTGTCCTTTGAAGCTTTGAAGCCAGGCACTGACTTCTCTCTAGCTCTGAAAGTCCTAGATGGTATCTTTGTCTAGTAGAAGGCTGTTTCATCTACACTGAAAACCTGTTGTTTAGTGTAGCCTCCTTCATTAATGATTTCAGCTAGATCTTCTGGATAGCTTGCTGCAGCTTCTACTTGCTGCTTTATCTTGCACTTTGATGTTATAGAGATTCCTTAACTCTCATGAACCACTTCTGCTAGCTTCAGATTTCTCTTCTGTAGCTTGCTCACCTCTCTCAACCTTCACAGAATTGAAGAGAGTTAGGGCCTTGCTCTCGATTAGGCTTTGGCTTAAGGGAATGTTCTGGCTGGTCTGATCTTTTATCCAGACTACTAGAACTTTCCCTAGGTCAGCAGTAAGACTGTTTTACTTTCTTATCATTCCTGTATTCACTGAAGTAGCACTTTTACTTTCCTCCAAGAACTTTTCCTTTGTACCCACAATTTGGCTGTTTGGTGCAAGAGGCCTAGTTTTCAGTCTGTCTCAACTTTCAACACGCCTTCCTCACTACGCTGAATCATTTTTAGCTTTTGATTTAAAGTGGGAGACTTGTGGGCGCCTGGGTGGCTCAGTTGGTTAAGCGGCTGCCTTCGGCTCAGGTC